TAAGGTACTTGTCGTTTGCATGGAAAGTCGGAATTAAGGAAAATAATCGAGAAGAGACAACAAACAATAACAAAACTTATATTCTAAACTACACCAAAAGTATGTAGACAAGTTTTAAGTGAAATTGGTTTGGTGGACAGAGGAACAAAAAAGCTGGAAATTTGTATATGATCAATCTCTCTCATCTGTAATTGTAATTCGATCTCGGAGTGCTTGTCTAAGAGAGAAAGAGACAGAGCGAGAAGGAGCATATAATGCTGTGATTATAAAAAGATCGTATGTTGTGTCAATCATTTAGCTTTTTTTTTTTTTTAACACCTATGTCAATCATTTAGCTATATGCTCTGCTTTTGGTTCAGTTTTTCCTTTTTCGATACATGCATGCTCCTTGTTTCCAGTAACAGAAGTTTATGTATCTTATTCTCTTTTCTTCACGTATACTGATTCTTTCATTTAAAAGAAATATTATTAATTATTAGAAATTAAAGTACCAAACGCACGCATCTGCAAAAGCCCTAAGCCCCTAACCTTTCCTTGGCACAAAAGACAAGATTTAGCAAATCATATATATAAAATTCAGTAATTAACCAAGACAGAAATGGTCATTTTATGTGTTGAGAATATAATTCTCTTGAATTATACACTTTTTCATACTAAACTTCTCCTTTTCATTTTCAGAAAAATTCTTGTCTAAACTAATTGATTTTATTATTTTAATATTTATCTTGCACCTCGTTTCAAATATATGTCTTACATAATAACAACGTTTAGTGTTATGGTTCCAAAGTTGGCAGTTACCTGCCTATGGTGTACGTAATTGAATAATATGATATTCGCATTAATCATTGAGATACTTTGATTAATTTTTGTAATAATAACTATAAAACATATCGATCATCCATGGTAATTTCTCATTACTATTTTAAGAGCATAACAGTGATTACTATTTTAAGAGCATAAAAGTTTTTTTATCAAACAAAAAAAGGTTTCTGTCTAGACTATAGTAATCTATTTGTATCTTGATATATTACTCTACATCTATATTACTAAATCATAATTCTATTTTAAAAATTTTGGATTCTGCCATTGAATTTTTATCATATTTATAAGAGAATATCACTATTATTTTTAGAATTTTAATTAACTAAACAACTAAACATTCCCTATATTTATGGTAACTGATAATTTTCTCTACTTTTGTAATTAATAATAATTTTCTTTTTATGAAAATTTATACTTTCTATTTAATTCTAATATTATATTTTCGTGCATAATATTATTTACTGATCAAAAATAAAAAATATTATTCACTCTGTCATTTTATCCATAATATTAATATGTCAATTCAATTTTCTTATAAATAATTTTTAGATATAAAATAAGTGAAAATCTACACTTATCGTAGGTAATTAATAACGAGAAGAAACTAATATTGTTATACGAATAGATTTTGTCTTTTTTTCTATTATCATTGTTTCATTTTTTTGCAAATGACAAGAAAAATTTCATTAAAGAAATTAAAAAAAAAAACTATTTTCCTTTAATATTAAAAGTATGAGTTATTTAACTAAATAAAAAATATTATCAGTTTTGTGAGGTTTTAAGCGGATCAACGAATATCATATTACAAATAAATAGCGAGTTTTAGTATACTTACTGAGTTTTATCAAATTTTTAATTAATAAAATTATTATTATTGGGTGCACCAGTTCAATTATGGGTGTGAGTCAGATATAAAAACACTATGTGAGAATTAATATTATAATAAAATATTTTTAAATATTAATAGACTATTTTTAATCTTTTTGTATTTAAATAATTAATTCAAATAAAATTTATCAAAATGATAAAAATATATCCGCGTTTTTAAAGTGAAGATCAAAATCTAGTATAAAATTATGTCAAGACACTACTCGAACGCACTTACAATAATTAACTAAAAAGTCATTTAGAGATTCCAGAAATACATGGTAAGATACCAAGACACACTATTCGAATACACGTACAAATACAGCAAATAAGTAATCAAAAACAAAACATGTCTTTTTCCTTTTTTTTTTCCTTTTAAAAGACAAAACATATTGAGGAATGCATCCATTTGTCATCGAAATAGGCTGATAATAACTAATACACAGTTTCTTTTTATTTTTGTAGCATGTACATAATTTGTCCCTTACGCTGCAGGTTCCCATCATTTCTGTAAATATTCTCTTAGCTTTTATACTTTCTCTCTTTTTTGATGTATATGGAATTAATAATCTTTATTCTCTCTTCCCCTATATATTCTCACATTTCCACCATTTCAGTATTGCATTGCCACTCAAATCACCTAACAACAAACAAATTAAAAGATTATATTTTCTCTCAAAATATAAACAAAAATGCAGAGGCAAGTGGCACTCATTAAGCAGTCCCTCTTTGATCAGGTTTTCAAAGTTTATTGTTGTTTTAAATAAAAGCACTCATTTTATTTAGTGTTTGTTTTTAAATAAAAGAAAACGAATCAATTGAATCTAAAACGGGAAATGCATGCAGGGATATCTCGACGAACAGTTCGTGGAGTTAGAAGAGCTCCAAGATGATGCAAACCCGAATTTTGTTGAAGAAGTTTCCACATTATACTTCAAAGATTCAGCTCGATTAATCAATAGCATTGACCAAGCTCTGTGAGTACCTTTATCTTTTTCATATTGGTGTTTCCAATTGTGCACAAGATTTCAAGTTTTCTAATAAACGAGAATCGCAATGCAGGAAAAGAGGATCATTTGATTTTAATCGGCTGGATAGTTACATGCATCAGTTTAAGGGCAGCAGCACTAGGTAAAATTTCCCTTTAATTTGATACTTCTTATAAAGATGAGAATTGTGAGCTTTTAATGCGGTTTTTATATATAAAAGTAAAAAGAGTGTAACACAAGCACACTGAAGTTACTTCCATTCTCGTTTATAATTAAATGACAATTTACTAGACAACACACTTTTATTTTGCATTATAAGTTTTAGGATTATTATTAATAGTAATAATGTGGGATTAACAGTCACATAACGTGTATTTTTCTCTTTTTGTAGCATTGGTGCGTCTAAGGTGAAAACTGAATGCACTATGTTTAGGGAATACTGCAGAGTTGGAAACGCTGAAGGGTAATTTCGTCATTCCATTAACACCTGCTAGGTTTTTTTATCGGATTATAAACTCATGGGGTTAGAGTGAAAACAAGTACAACATATGGGGCTGAAATTGCAGTATACCCATTGAATCTTGAACGTTTGCCATACTTAATTTTCTAAACTTATTCCATACTTGCGACGAGTGCAGATGCGTGAGGACTTTCCAGCAACTGAAAAAAGAGCACGCAACTTTGAGAAAAAAGCTTGAACATTATTTCCAGGCAAGCTAATGATCAAATAAGCTTAACGAATCACAACTTATGTGATGATCTTTATTAATTACATTTTAAAACCATAAGTGCTTAATTATTTACTGAGATTAAAATTTAAAATGAACAGTTGGCAAGACAGGCGGGGCCTAAGGAGACAGCACGTAGGTCCAAGTAAGAGAGAGAGAGACATTTGAGGAATCGTTAGCGAATTTTGCAGTAGAAATTACTATATACTAATAAATAGTTCCTCAATGTACGTTATAAAGAAGATCTTGGATTTTAATATTATGTATGCTAATAAATGGTCCAAGTTTCTCTGATTGTTTTCCTTATATGGCCAATATTCTCCTAAGAGATCATATATTCACGATTACCTCTTATTCGTAGCATTTTGGCTTCCACTAACAACGGTATACAACAAAACAAACATGATTTATCGATTCGCATTTTGCCATGATACGTTGCTTTAATTTATTTTATAATGTTAGATGCACTTCAAAAAAAAAAAGAAAAAAAAAAGAAAGTGTAGTCTCTATTGCTACTGCTAATAGTACTATTTGGAGCAAAAACTGTAACTCAATAATTTCCGACGCGAATCTAGTAATAATAACGCTTCTCCATTTAATTATTCTTAGTCTTACACAGTGGCGGATCTACCCTTTCCAGCATGGAGGCAGGTGCCCCATGAAAATTATTAAAGTATATAGTAATTGCCTATAATTCTATAGCTCAGTTGGTTAAAATCCTTCCTCTGCCCCCACTAAACCTGGGTTCAAACCTTCCCCAGTCCCTTTAACTTCATTTTTTTCATTTTATGCCCCCACAAATATTTTTTCCTAGATCCGCCACTGGTCTTACATTACATGTCCTGAGTTTTTTCATACGATGGGTCATGGGTCAACTCTTATTGCATGGGAAACATAAATATAACAACAAAATTACAAAAGCCCCATGCAGAGAAATGAGTTTCTTAAAATGGTCCAACATTTGTTAAAATGCCTGAGATATATGCCTGAAATGAATGTTTTTTTTAAAAAAAGAAGAAGTTTCTACTGCCGTGCGTATGGTATATATATTAGTAGATGCACAGTAACGTTGACTTGTAGAAGCAGAGAGCAATAAGTTTCTCTGCCTGAAAAAAGGAAAAAATAAATACAGAACAGCCTAGTGTTGGGTAGATCTTTTACATAACTAGATGTTGATCTTGATATTTATTGATTGGTTAACTATTTTAATGTCTAAAGCGACGTCGAACCACTCTCATTTATTAGCCCTAGCTATATCTCACTCACTACCACAACCTCCATCTTCCTCACTTTAAAGTTTAAACACACACCAGATCATATTTATGTCATCCATGTGCACCTTTGTTACACTTAAAAGGTAAATCTATTTCCTAGAAAATAATTAAAAAGAAGAACAGGCTGGTTCAATTGTTTCCACAAATCAAAAATGGTTGGAAAAATATTGAATAAGAGAGAGAGAGTTATAGAGAGTTGACACAACATTGAAGTACATTAAACTCCCTAACCTCTTTGTCTTTGTGTAACCTTCTTTTTTTCTCTATGTATATATATATGTATCAAACTAAACCATTCACACACATACCGAAGCAAGAACATGGATCACCGCATGACGTCGTGTTTGCTTCTCCTCTTGGTCTCTTTCCAAATTGCATTTGCTCAAGACGCTCCAACGACTCTAGTTCCTGCAATCATGACGTTTGGTGACTCTGTGGTTGATGTCGGAAACAACAACTACCTTCCGACCATTTTCAGAGCTGACTACCCTCCTTATGGCCGTGATTTTGCTGGCCACAAACCCACAGGACGTTTCTGCAACGGCAAATTAGCAACTGATATTACCGGTAAAAAGATGTTACTTCAGTCTCAAGTTATCTTTTGAAGTTGCTTAAAACTCAAGTATGTTTCTCTGTTGCAGCTGAGACACTAGGGTTTACTAAATACCCACCAGCTTATCTAAGTCCCGAAGCTTCAGGGAAGAACCTTCTCATTGGTGCTAATTTCGCTTCAGCAGCTTCAGGTTACGATGACAAAGCCGCTCTTCTCAATGTCAGTGACTGTTCTTTCTCATCTGATACATTTCTTCTTTTTTTTTTTTGTGTTTCTCTTCTGATTTTTGTGTTCCTTTTTTCTCTGGCAGCACGCGATTCCATTGTGTCAGCAAGTAGAGTACTTCAAAGAGTACAAGAGCAAGCTCATAAAAGTTGCAGGAAGCAAAAAAGCTGATACTATTATAAAGGGAGCAATCTATCTCTTAAGTGCAGGAAGCAGTGACTTTGTTCAAAACTATTATGTGAATCCTCTTCTTAACAAAGTCTACACTCCTGATCAGTACGGATCTATGCTTATTGATAACTTTTCTACATTTATCAAGGTAACATTATATTTTTCCATTCAGAAAGGATAGTTATGTTCTTTCCATTCTAAGAAATTCATACTCCATTTAACACAATGTCACCTTCTTTGTACAAATGTTTTTTTTGGTTGAATAAATTTAACATTCTTCCAGAAAAGAAAAAACAATATTTTTTTTTGTTTTGTTTTTATTCTCTATCTATGTTTTCTCTGTATTCAACTGCAAAAAAAAGAGATTATGAATCTTTTGTGGATGGATGCAGCAAGTGTATGCGGTTGGAGCAAGGAAGATAGGAGTGACATCTCTGCCTCCAACGGGATGTCTTCCAGCTGCAAGAACCCTTTTCGGATGGCATGAAAAAGGTTGTGTTTCAAGACTCAACACAGATGCTCAGCAATTCAACAAGAAGCTTAACGCAGCTGCTTCAAAGCTTCAGAAGCAATACTCTGGTCTAAAGATTGTTGTCTTCGACATCTTCACCCCACTTTATGAACTTGTTCAGTCCCCTGCTAAATCTGGTAACTCACAAAAATGATACATAATTTTATAACGTTTGCTTTTAAGATAATCCATGATACACACACATTCGTCTTTATAAACAGGATTCACGGAAGCAACAAAAGGATGTTGTGGAACAGGAACAGTAGAGACAACTTCGCTCTTGTGCAATCCGAAATCGTATGGGACATGCCCCAATGCGACTCAGTATGTGTTCTGGGACAGTGTTCATCCCTCTGAAGCTGCCAACGAGATTCTCGCCACTTCTTTAATTGGACAGGGCTTCCCTCTCATTGGTTGATCTCTTACGTCAAACACAAGTCTTCACTTCTGTAATTCGCTGTGTTTCTGTCAAACCTTGAGTCTTACTTACACTGTTATTTCCCTTTGAATTTATGTATCAAAACCACCACTATTGCCCTATAAACGAATTGATGATTACTTACTGCATGAAAACCAAACGTTGAGAAAACAACTTCATACGCGAGAAAACTATATACAAACCCTTCTTGTGCTTGTTCGTTTGTACAAAAACAAAAGTGATTAAAAGATGGAAGTTCTTGAACGGTTAAAATGAACATAGTAGAGTTCCTAAGTAGTGAGGACACATCAGGAGTGGGACAAATGGTTAAGCAACTTCAAGTGTTGCAGCATTCCTGTTTGGTGTCAATATTGCCATCAAATGGGATGATACTTCTTTACGTTTTTCAGCAGATGTCTTCGCTTTGGAGCAAGTTCCTTTCTCTAAATTTTGGTCACCCTGCCCCTTAAAGACCAGCTTCTGTTTAGCACCACTCTTGGCAAAGGTATAACCCTGCAGAAAACATCAACTTAGAGGTATTATTAACTACCACCAGAGCCTGTGTTTTGAACATTTTCAGCATAAGAAAACCAGAGAGATAAAGAAAGATTCAGCACTTTAATTGTCGACGAAGATGAGTAGAGCAAAATCATATACCGGGCGTTTGTAGACTAGTTGAACTGATCTTTTCTCCTTTAGATGAGCTTGACCAGCGGGAACCTGAATTATAAAAGGGAAGCGTTAATGATCATACATAATGAGAAAGACTGGGGTTTGTGTATGTTTTGAAGCTGCAGATATATATACTTACGTAGGTAGTCATGTTTTGGTGACCCAACATCTGTGGTAACTGAGTGGCCATAGGGTAATAATATGCTCCAATATGGAATGGCTGCATATAACCATATGCGCTGCTCGTAGACTGTGGGACTGGCTGAGCTGGTGAAGAGACAGGAAGAGCTGGTTGCACTCCATAGTATTGCTTGTACCCTGTAGATCGTGGGACTTGCTGAACTGGTGAAGGGACAGGAGGAGCTTGCGTGTAATGGCGCGGTTGCACTCCATAGTATTGCTTGTACTCTGTAGATGGGAGGACTGGCTGAGCTGGTGAAGGGACAGGAAGAGCTTGCATGTAAGGGCGTCGATAATACTGCTGCATCCTCTTGAATCGATCCTCCTTACGTTCAGCAACTCGCACAACAAGTGACATTCCATCAACTAAAAATCCTGTAAGCAGCAGTATAAATACAGATTCAATCATCAGCATATATCAGCTTTGGTTTAGGGGAAATATAAACTAAGCTACGTTAGTTATAGCATACCGTGGAGCTCTCTTTTAGCATGTTTGGACTCGTCAAGGCTAGAGAAACTCACAAAGCCGAAGCCTTTACTTTTACCATTTTCATCACGCATCACTTTTGCAGAGACTACCTTCCCATAGCGTCCAAATATCTCTCGCAGCCTTGTTTCATCGATTGATTCAGTCAAGTTCTTCACGTACAGACTAGCCCACTCAGTTTTACCCTTGGCAATAAAGTTGTCTTTGTGTTTCTGCTTCAGCATCTCCATCCTTTCATCTTTTCTCAAAGCCCTTCCAACAAACAACTTCTTCGAACCTAATCACCAAAGAAGCTTTACAAAATAAGAAACTCCAGTCTACTAAGTACTACGCGAATACAAAGAAGTTGAGTTTACCATGTGGTTGTCCATTGAGAGATTCCACAGCTTTCTTAGCATTTTCAGGATGGCAGAAGTTGACAAATCCGAAACCTCTTGATCTTCCCATACCATCCCTCATAACCACAACGCTAGAGACTGTCCCACACTGAGAAAACATAGTATGCAGAAAATCCTCTGTAACAGTTTCGAGCAGATTCTTCACATAGACGTTTGTAAACTCTTGATTTCCAGACATAGTTGATCTCTCATCCTTGTTAATGAACTTTGCCACAAACCTAACACAAAAGAAACATCTCATCATCAATCGAAACTCTATTTCTCCTAAGTAAATTACACTTTACCAACTCACAGTTTCTTGCCATCAACAATAGAGCCATGAGAGGCACGAAGAGCAGCCACAGCGGACTGCTCAGTAACAAACTGAACAAAACCGAAACCTTTACTTTCGCCATTCTCCTCAGCTACTTTGCAAGAAAGTATAACACCAAAGGGACTAAACATCCGCTCTAAGCAACTGCTAGTGATGGAGGCGTCAAGATTCTTAACGAAGAGATTCCCCAATCCACTACGACGACGGTACGCAACGTCTTTCTGTGACCACATTATCCGCATCGTCTTCCCTTTCAAATCAGTGTGGTTCAAACACGCCATAGCATTCGATGCTTATCCACATAATAAACCGCAAAGAAACATGTCACAAAAAAAAGAACTCATCAGAAACTGATTCATCATTAATCGCAAGAAAAAGGCGCGAAATCAACAACACAACGGAGATTCTCAAATTAGAAACCCTAAGTATAAAGCGAAGTCACGAAGAACGAAGAAACGAGTTTGTTGTTACCGGTGATGGTTGAATCGAAGTTGACGTAAGCGTAACAGAGCGATTTTCCGGTGACGGAGTTACGGCAGAGATGAGCGGAGACGACGGGGACGGTCAAGGAGAATTTGGCGATGAGATCAGCCTCCGTGACGTCGGGGCTAAGGTCGCCGACGTAGAGAGAAGCGAGAGTCGAGGACTGAGTGTTTCCTTGCGGTTGCGTTTCCGGTTTCATGATCGCCGTCGCCGCCATTGTTGTTCGTCAGAGAGAGAGAGAGGAGTGGAAGAAGCTGAGAGGTCTTTCGTCGTTATGTGAGTGTGTATATAGATATACACGTGTGTGTATGTATATATTCGTTCCGTTATAACCGTAATGATGATGACGAGTGAGCACAGCACACGCAGAGTTGGCTGTACGGCTTCTGTACGGAGACTACACGCGCTGCGAGTGTGGTTTCGAATATACTCGCGTCATATAAGATGACGTTTAATTATTTAAAGAAGCAAAAGATGTATAGTTTTCGGTTTGTCGTTTGGGTGAATTGGCCTAAAATCCATAGAAAACTTGGATATTAGGAATATGTCATGGTTTTGGGGGAAAAAATAGTAAGAGAGAGGAGGAGAGATAAGAGAGAAAAAGGGTAGATAGTTAATTTAGGGGTTTAGTTTGTATATGGGATGCAAATACTCTTGTTGTTTTTGGTATGTTACTATGTAGTTGGACAATTTTTTTTTGTGAAAATGTATGTATAGCAAAAAAAGAACCATACCTAAAATCGGGTGGCTCATAGTGTAATTGCATATGTATTTTGTGGCTTATGGAATAAAAGTTTACTACTAGTGTACATACAAGAATTATGCCAGAAATCCTCTCTTTGTTGTTGGTTAAGGTTACCTTGTATCACTAAAAACCAAGAAATTACGTTGGATAATTTCAGCGTTTGGTGCCTTTACAAACATATTTTGAGAGAGTTAGTGCCAATTAAAAAGTTCAGAGTATATATGATACAATATTGAGACAAAAAGTGACATAGCTCATGTTGTATTGTTTCATCCGTTATAACTTTCTAAGATTACGCTACTTACATGATGTAGCAAAAGGTTTGATACAGGGCCGTCCCAAATCATTTCTAGATCCTGTTCAAAATAATATTAATGATCTATTTAACGATTTAATAAAGAAAATTTAAAAGTTAATAAACATTTTTGATGTTTCTTTTAAAATTATAAGCTTTGATCTATCAATATACTAAAATTTTAAAGTTTTTTTATCATAATCTATCTATATATATTTAAGAATTTTTTATGTTTATCTAAATTTTTCCTTTTTCTTTAAAAAATATCTAATTTTTTATATCATTTTTATATTTCTTTTTTAAAAATATTTGAGATTATGTTCAATTACTCCACTTGTACATGCTATTAAACGATCCTGGTTTGATAAGTGGTGAAAGGTGCATACTAATAGAAGTTACAGTTCTTCAACTTTATCACTTTAAGGGGTGAATAATTTCATATTTTTTTACATCAATTGGAATTCTTCAACTTTATCACTTTAAATCGTGAAAATTTCATACTTTTTAAATATTAGTTGGAGTTCTTCCACTTCAATGCTTCTTTTTGTCCAAGTTTGAATATACTCTCGGAGATGGGATGCAAAAGAAAATCAAGATACTAGTTACAATCTCTTTTTTTTTGTTATCCGCATAAACAGATTCCATAAGAGTTTACCAAGGCACCAACAACAAAAGGCAAAAAAGAAGAAAATGAAAACAAAAACTAAAAAAGCGAGAATGGGTCTCTTGGTATCAATCTGGGTCGTTCAGAGCTCATGACGTACGTTCTGTATTTAAAACAGAATGTTAAATCTAACTATATTAAAATGCCTAAATCAAGTTCTCCGAGGTATGCCACGTAGGCAAAAATAATCACCCAATCAAAATATTTTATTTGTACACATCAGACAGGTTTTGGGTTTTCGGTTGGACTTCTTTTGTTTTTGCCAAATCAAACATCAGACACCAAACGAGTAGGCTTGGACTTTGGAGTTTTTTTTTTTTGATGTTTGCTCTAATCTTAACAACACAAGGGTCGCCAACGACGAATGAAACATCTCCTCTACGTCTTCTCCACTTCGATCCCAAAGAAACCGAGCCACTTCTCCACAATCAATCCATACTTAACTTCGATCCATCAATTTTTATTTTATGATTTCGTTTCAACTCCCTATGTTCCTCCTTCTTTATATACGCATCTTCTTATCTTTGTACAAACCCATACCCTAGCAATTCCTCAAATCTCAACCATGGCGACCAAATCGAATGGGAAGTCTCATGTGTCATCCACCTCTGATGAAAAAATGATGCTCTTCAGAGATGTCTCTCTGGGTCACCACGAAACTCAGTTGCGCTTCCGTGTGATCCACTTCTGGGAGGCTTCGAACCAATTAAGAAGACGTTTATCGGCCTTGAGATGCTCCTCATCGACAAATAGGTTATGTGAATCTTCTTAAATTTGTTATTTTGTTCCCACCAATTTAGTTTAAAGCAGACGAACTTCTCCGTTGATGTTCTTCAGATATATCTCCCTGGGTCTCCACGGAACTCAACTAAGATAATTACCAAATTGTAGAAATAGTTTACGGTTTATAATTATGCCTTTGTAATGAACTGAAATTCTAAGCTAGGTGTTTTTTATAAACCCGATTAAAAGATCATTACCAAATTGTCTGATTTGGAACTCTTTTTCGACAAGTGCCATCTAGATTTAATTTCAGTGAATTTACTACCATGATTATTGCTTTTTTGTCTGTATTTGCTATACCCAGATTTTAGGTTTTAAGAACGCTCATAAATTTTGAAGAATTCTCTAAATTGAAACTATATTGTGTGTTTCTTTTCTATTCATACATCCTTTATAGTGGTGGTTGTTATTTGATTAGTAAAATTTAGAACTGAGTAATCCTTTTATCAAAAAAAAAAAAACCTAAATTATTTGAAGAAATGTAAAGCAGACATTGGATTCTTTTTCTATTATATATGTTTGTTTAAGTCTTTTCATTTTACATGAAATATTCATTTCAAAAATGTATTAGCAGAATAAAGGGAGAAGAAGATCTAGCAATCAAAGAAAATAACAACTCAAAATGGAGAAGAAATGCTCTATAATCAGATATGTGTTTCAAAAAGTGTTTTAAAAAGCTCTATGTTTGTTGTTCATTTATTGTTGTTGAATATGTTTATATTTTCTTACTGATAAGGTAAGCAGCTACAACAAAAATGACTTCCTCATTGGGTTGTTTCACCGACTCCCTCTCTCAACTCAACACTTCCTTCCTTCAACTATGAGTCTGAGTTATAGCCATAGGTAAGAAAATTGCTGCTTTATGTTTTGATTCAGATTTAATCTGACTTCTTTTATGGTTTCTCAGATAAACTATTAGAATTAGGAGAAGCACACGCCAAGACCAAAGTGCTAAGGCTATCTCTCTTTGCTATACTTGTAGGAACAACTTTGTAAGGAATATGGAAACTCATTCTCGCTTTTGCTTAAAGCATTAAACTTGAAGCTTGGATTTTGTGGTTACCCTTCTTAGCTTTTTTACGGCTCACACAACAACGTAGAGGAATCAACATAGAGGAGAACCGGTGCTGCAAGAACAACTTGACAGACTCTGCAAGAGCTATTCATGCTGGTGGTGCTGATGAAAAATCTAAAGCACTTAAGGTATGAAATCTAAGCTATGAACCACATCTTTAAGTTTTATTTTTGTTTTTTTTATCAAGGCTTTAGTTCGAATTACTGCTTTTGCCATTTCCATGAAGAAGTATTAGCAATGGACTCCTCGAAGACAATCCCTTGACATAGCTAATTAATATTAACAAAAAACTATCTGGTAAGCCTCTAACCGTTTATTGCTACAGTATCGCTTAAGCGTTTGAATATATTTAAATAAAAAAATTAAATATATTATATTCTTGATAATTTTGAAATTACTGAAAAAGAAACTAAATTATTAACAAAATTTATTAAATTTCACAAATAATATAAATTTCATGGTATACTGATGATAATTATATAACTAAATTATCCATTAATACTAATGAATTATTTTCAAATAATTACTTCAAACTGAAAATATTCAAATTTAAAAATTAGTTAAATATAATTTAAACTGCAAAATTTCAATACAAATACAAATCATAAATATAAAAAAATTAAATATATTATCTGCGCGTAGCACGGAGAAAAAATCTAGTATGAATAAAAACTAATTTCGTTTGAACAAAGCTTTTAGTTTAATGTTATCATTTAAGTTTAAAAAATAAATAACTACGTTGAAACAAAAACAAAAAAAAAACAACTACGAACTCTTTACTTCGCTAACATAACAACGTTATGACAATTTTACAGAAAGAAGAAGTTATGGATGTCTGAGGGTGAGGCGGATTACCTTTAAGCTGGTCTTGGATCTAGGGCTGTGGTGGCTGTAGAAGATGTAAGATTTTGATAAATGGATGAGAGGTTGAGAGAGTTTATGAGTATAGGGAGATTGAGAGAGTAAGACAAAAAAGATTGGTGAAAATCAGAATAGACTTCTTATGGTACAATATAAAGCCAGATTAAATAAACCAATGTTTCCATATCTCCTAAATTTTGTCATCGGAGCAAAATTCTGTTGATAGGTCATTTTCTAATATTCTTATTGTTTTCTCTTAGGAAACCTATATCCTAGCTTACCCGTAGGTTAGATGCATTCATGACACCTTGTAGGAAGCTACTCTCAACATCCCTTTAGACCATCTCCACTGAAGGATTTTTACGGTAGGATTTTTAGCGGAATATAAAAATCCGTCTCTTAAAAACAGTTAAGAATCGGTTCTTAAATAAGACATGTGAAAATCATTTTTTAGTTTTTTAATTAAAAGTTAAGAGACGGATTTTTATACTCCCTTTGTTTCAATTTATTTGTCATTCTAGGTTTTTACACACATATTAAAGAAACATTTAATTTTATACATTTTCAATATAAAAACACAATTACCAATATATCTAACCACTTTTCAACCAATAGAAAAATAGAATATCATATAAACCTAATAAATTCTGTCTCGAAACTCTAAAACAACACTTATTTTGAAACGAAATTTTTCCTCTAGAATGACATCTAATTCGAAACGGAGGGAATATTCCACTAAGAACCCCGTCGTAAGATGCTCTTATCATTAGAGGAGAAGCAAATAGAAGAGTTATTACATGTGTGCTATCTTACATACGTTCTTCTCCTAAACTATTTACCCTTGTTCAAAAACTTACTAGGCACAACGTAACACTTTTAGCGCGGAATTGATAAATGGAAGATTACACTAAGATTAATCACAGAGTAATTTTAGGGTTTTTATATTTGTTCTAGGGTTATATATTAAACATGTTCAACTTTAGGAAGGATATGATGTAGCCTAACGGTAATA